GGGTGTCCAGGCTCCACGGGGCTGCAGAGGGCAAGGCGGCACACAGAGGCCGGAGGCAGAAGGGGGGCAGAGTGTGGGGCCAATCCCCCTGCCTGGCTTGCTCACCTCCCCCAGAGGCAGAGGGCTCTGCCGGCTTCTCTCCAGTCCCATGCCCAATGCTATGGCCCTTCAGGGCTCAGTTCCTGGCCTGAGCCCAGCCCCACACTCCAGGCTCCACGGGGCTGCAGAGGGCAAGGCGGCACACAGAGGCCGGAGGCAGAAGGGGGGCAGAGTGTGGGGCCAATCCCCCTGCCTGGCTTGCTCACCTCCCCCAGAGGCAGAGGGCTCTGCCGGCTTCTCTCCAGTCCCATGCCCAATGCTATGGCCCTTCAGGGCTCAGTTCCTGGCCTGAGCCCAGCCCCACACACTGCACAGCTGTGCTTGGCTGGCCCTGGCCGGTCCAACACCCCCGAGGAAATCCAGCTGGGCCCCACCCCTAAAGCTGGAGGGGAGTGACCCTACCCTGCGGGGAGGGGACAGCTCGCCCCCCCGCCCCAGCAGCCTGAAAGCCAGGGGAGGGGGCTGAGGTGAGGGAGCTGCGCCCCCCCGGTGAGGAGCAGCCGAGGGGACGCACTCCGGGTGCAGGGAAGGGCTGCGGTGTGTAGGGTTGCCAGGTGTCCGGTACTGACCCAGACAGTTCGGTATTTTCGCCTCCTGCCCGGTAAAAAAATTCAGAAAATACCGGACACCTGAAACGCCCTAAAATGCCTGGAACTTTGTGAGCAGGAAGACAAGATGGCAGACGGCCACCAGTTAGGGCCAAAAAGCCTCAAAAGCCTTTCTTAAAGGGGCCACGCTTTTTTTGTTCTTTTTTTTTTCTCAATAACTTTGGTGTCTCTCTTTTTTCCCCCCCAACAGAATTTCCCCCCCGGTAGTTTCTGTTTTTTGGAGGGGGAGGGGGGCGCATGGTATTTTTGGTTAAACCATCTGGCAACCCTAGCGGTGCGGAGGGCTTGGGAGGGAAGCGCCACTGGGGCCGATGGAGCCCAACCCCCAGGCAGCATGCCCGAGCGCCTCGCATACCTGTCTGTACCAGAGGACGGGGTCCGCCTCCGCCTGCCGGCCGCAGTCCACCCCGGCTTTGGACTCAGCCGCCTCCTTCCCCAGGTGCCCGGCCTCAGCCACCTTCACCTTCAGCCCCTCGGCCACCTGGCTGGGCAGCTTGGAGGAGTCCTCCAGCTTGGGGATGATCACCGACTTGGCCGACTCGACCGCCCCCACCTCCTTGGCCTTGCCTAGTCCCGACTTCACCAGGTCCGTCAGGCTGGGGGCTTTGGTGAGCGTCGGAGGGACCGACGGCTTCGGCTTCCAGTCCTCCTTGAGGCCCAGCTCGGCTTTCTTCTCCAGCCCACGGGACGGCTGCACCTCCAAGCCCTGCCGCTGGCCGGGGGGCGGGGCTGGTGCTCAGCAGGTGGGCGTGGTAGCCCTGCTCGCTGTAGCCGTAGGGGGGCACGTAGGCATACTGGTTGTAGTACAGGGACTGCATGTACATGCTGGGCCGCTGCTGGATGACCGAGGGCTGCTGGCTGGAGCCGCTGAGTTCCACCTTCTTCTCCTCGCTGCCTTCGCTCTTCCCCTTCCCCTCCGGCAGCTCCTGCTCCTCCTCCTTCTTCAGCTTGGCGGCCTGGCTCTCGGCGGCCTGGCTGCTGGGGTTGAGGGGCCCGGGGCTGGCCTGCGGGTAGCCCGGGGAGTAGTACGCGTCAAAGCCCTGCGAGTAGGGCGAGTCCTTGCTCTGCCTCTGGGGCGGGAG